TAAGATTATGTGCCCAAATAAATTCTTATAAAAAAAATGTCCATGTAGATGCTCTAACAATGTTTACTTATTTTGGAAGGCAAAAAGATTTTTCATAATTTGTATATTGTGATAAAAACTATTTTCAATTAAAATTGAAAAATATCTAAAATAATTTTGAGAATTTTTTGATCAACTTCTGATATTGAAATACTAGTTCTACTTGTAGGTCCAACATTTATACCAAAATGTTGACCGTTAATTCCATGAATTAAAACTTTAGGAGTTATTTAAATATTGACGAGGTTCTCATGAATTCTATAAACTTGTTATTAAATTCAAAATACTTGCAAATATTTATTTTTTGAATTTTGTATAAAAAAACTAAAACACACCATGTATTTTTTTTTAAGTTAGATGTATTTTTTTAAATTTTTTTTAAAGAAACTTAGCTATATGCAACACGTAAAAAAATATCAATATTGTTTTTTTTTTTTATAAGGCTATGGTTGGTGAGACTTTTTATTTTCTTGAAATAAAACTACCCATAACAGACCTAAGAGGTGTTTTTCAAATACCCTAAAAAAAAAGCCTTAACAAAAAAATGGCAAATTAAATAGGGTATAAATGATTGATCCGGTTTTAACTAGATTGGGTTGATCCAAAATAAACTAAAACAAGATCCAAACCAAAATAGATTGAACATAAGCCTTAACAAAAAAATGACAAATTAAATAGGGTATAAATGACTGATCCAGTTTTAACTAGATTGAGTTGATCCAAAATAAACTAAAACAAAGATCCAAACCAAAATAGATTGAACATAAAGAAAAACATAAAAAGTTAAAATTTCTAAAGGAAAACAGATCAAGCATAAAAACAAATGAAGAACAAGAAGAATATTCAAACAAAACCCAACAACATAGGTTTCAAGTTAGACCAAATCTGGTTAAAACAAGGGTACATACATGTTAAAAATCTTGCAAAGATTAATAATTTATAATCCAATTACTTCAATTTTCATTTAAACATCATAATTTTTTAAAAATAAGTTTCAGTTTAAAATTGAAACTCTAATATTAAAAGCCATTTAAAACATGTTATTGATAATAATAAACATTATATTATTGATTAATTATGCATAAAGAAAATTTCTCTTCAAAGAAATGGACAAAAAGTGATCCAAATGAAGGGGCTACAATAGATAATGTTCTTTTCAAGAACACGAAGAATACTACCTTAAATCCAGAAATAAAAAACCCAACAACCCAGCCACTGCCAAACTTAAAAATGAGCATTTTTTTTTGCCTCTAAAGCATGCTTTCTCCATTCTAACAAACCACATTATCAAAACAAAGTATAATTGAATAAAAAAACAACAAATCATTAAAAATCATACAAGAGATTTCAAACTTGAAAAATGCCAACTTAAAATAACCTATATATTTATATAATTTGGATTCAAAATATTCTTTTAAACCTTCAATAAGAACTAAACAAAACTTAGAAACCAAGAAACATGGATTAACCAACACAAAAAAAAAAAAATCAAAACATTGCTACCATATTTGACAGATTTCAAATAAAAATAAAGTATAAATTTAAGATATATGTCAATAATCATCATGTCAACACATTCAAAACATTGCATTTAAATAATAAAAAACAATCCAGTAGGTCTCATGAACTCTATTTCCAAAGCTCGCAAAAATATACTTTCCAAACTTAAAATATTTAAATAGAAATAGATTTTTATTGTTGCCTTCCTTTCTTCTTATCTCTAAACCCAACAAAAATAAACTAGATCCTTTTGAGCTCGTGAGCTTGATTTTGGTTCCTTTAAACTTTAACCAAATTTCTTTTTTCTTTTCTCCCTTTCCCCACTTTGCTCCTCTGACTATCTCTCTTTTTATAGGTTAATTTAGAGCTTCTGGATGAATTTGTTAGAATTTTTACAAACTAAAACTAAACTAGTTTTATCATAGGATAAATGATTTTGAATTTAGGTGCTTTTGTAATAAACTTAGAGGTCAAAATGAAGTGTTTCACCCTTTTACTCTTGATAGAAGTGTTCTCAACCTTCAATTAGAATATTTTAGGAGTTTTTAAGTATGAACACACAAAAATATTAGGTGGTTTTATGAAAATAAATATATGAGTTAAAAACTAATTGGGTTAGTCATTTTCATAATGAGTTAAAACTAATTGGGTTAGTCATTTTCATAACATTGCTAGAGAAACTTCAATGTCAAACTTGGTTTTGATTTATTTAATTGGAACCCCAATTGACTATCAATTTTTTTTTTTTACCCTTGATTTATCAATTTCAAATTTTGAAGCCTTGCTCGTCTTATAAGTTGGTTTAAAGACTTGTTTTTTTTCCTCATAATTATATATATTAAAGAAGTTATTGAATTAAAAATAATTTCATTAATTATTTAGTTTATAGAATTATTTTCATATATAACATTGATTTTAGTGATTTGATGCCAAGATACTTCTCTTACAAAGACATTGCAAAACAAAAATATAAAACCATCTAATTACATGTGAGCAACGTCCAGTGAAAGAAACGTAGTAAAAATAAGAGAGCAAGATGCCAATCAGCCAGTATTTTGTTCAGAATTCACATGGAACATGCAAAGTTGAAAATACATGAATTACTTGTCTCGTAATTTACCAACAGAACTTCCATGGCATTCTCTGGCTTTGGCTTAAATTTCTGATTTGATGTATCAAGTGGCTTGCATTTATGTTGGTTTGAATTGAATGCTCTTTGTACCACCACAGTGATACTACATCAAAGGCTCAATGAAATGGCTGGAGATAATTTAATTGTTCTTGTGGAAAATGTTTTTTTTAGTGTACACATGATCCAGACCAGTAAGTTGTTCAATTCCAAGAACCTCCTTTTACAGTCCACGTAGTGTAAGATTTCGTGCCTTGAATTTCCTTTCACGCGGCCATCCGGACAATGGTTGCCTGGTGTCGTTGTCGTGTGCTCGTTCGGTACTGTGATAGAGCTGATACAAAGCTCAAATTTGATGTCTTTTCAAAATCATAATTTTAGATGTAAACCATAGGTTTGAAACGCAATTCCAAACAGACAGACGTGAGCTCTCCTTCACATGTGTTGTTGTTCGGTAATAATATGCATATACATTGATTTAAGCACATAAAACCAATTAAATAAATACATCATGACTAGTGGATATACAAGTCTCATTGTTATATTACAATTATTGTCCCACAAATTTAAAGCTCAAATATTGTCAACACCAGCTTACATCATGCCTCATAAACTAACCAGTACTAGCAGAACAATAGCTGCTGAAACCTTGAACATCATCGATTTACATGCTATAAAGCTTTTTCATGACATTTGAAAAAACCTAAAAGCCATCAAGCTTTTACTATAGCATATCCTCAAGAAACTATGGATTAGAACAATGCTTTGATATCTATACTTTTATTAACAGAACTTACATAGTTGCTTTTAAAAATATTTTTATCTTTTCTCATGTTCACTCGCATTGATGAATTAATTGCAGGCAAATTAGTTTTTACAAATTTGTTTGCACAATGTAATGATTTTTTTACCCTCAAATTCAAAATGACATTTACCTATTACTTAAGAGTATTTTTAATGTTTCAAATTTAATCACACAATGAATTATTAAATTTATTCCTGGAAGGCGAAAAAAAAAAAAACAAGTGTGCAATGGTCTTCATGTATTTTTCTTTTGGTTTTTCAGATAATTATCGAAGTGAGAGAGTGACTATTGTGTTATATACCAATTATATAATATTATGCAACCCCTCAATTAGTTTTTTTCTTTAGATTTAGTCTCTAATTTTTTAATTAATATTTATTTTATTTAAAAAAAATTATAAAAAAATTTGTTTTCGATATCATCTCTATGATTTTTTTTATTTGTTAACTTTGATCATAAAAAAACTCAATGCAACCCTTCAATTAGTTTTTTCTCTAGATTTGATCTTTGATTTTTTTATTGGTATTTATTTTATAAGTAATAATTAAAAAAATTAAAATTTCTTTTCAATTTCATTCCCTGTGAATTTTTTCATATGTTAAAGTTAGTCCATATTCTTTTAATTTCTATTTATTTTATTTTAAATGGTTTATAGAATTTTTTTTTTCAATTTCTTCTTCGTTTTTTTCCTATCGAATTTCTTTCTTAAATTTTTTTATTATTTTTTTTACCTTTAAAATTATTTTAGTTTGATTTTATTTTATAATTTTATTGTTCAACATTAAATTTATCAGGTGTTGACCTTCTTGATAGAGTCCAGGTCTAGAGATTAACGAGTTTTGAAATTGAGATATTAATATGAGGTTAGAAGATTCGCTCGAGTTTATTTAATTTTTTAATATTATATTTTTTTAGTTTCAACATCCGATATTTTTTTTTCTTGTTTTTGATAGGATTTTTCATACTTTTTGAGAGTAACATGAGATGCCTTGGTTTTTTTTTTGTTTTTTGTTTTTTTATCTTTGCTAGATCTATCTCTTTTAATAAAAAAATTTCTAATTAAATTAAATTAATTTATTTTATTATTCAACATTAATTTAACATCATATATAACATTAAGGAGGATCTACAAATTGCAATCATTATTTTTTTATCTTAAAAAATATATTTAAAAATTTAAATTTCACTTTGACTTTTCATTCCAATTTCTTCAGTTTTATTCCAGATTTATACCTAATGGAACATAAATTCTTTTCCAAGAAGTCGTATAATATCCCCTATGCTTGATTTTCAAATTTGAATCCATTCTATACTGCATCATAACATAAAGAGATTAACTTCATATTACAAACATAGATATACAAGTATTATTGTTATATTACAATCGCAGTCTCGCAGTGTTGCAATACAAAGGAAATATACTGTAAACACCAACATGCTGTATGCAGACAACCATAGTGTACACACCAGCAAAACAATAGCTGCTGAAATCCTGGTCATCACCAGTACTTTGTGCTACATGACACCTACAGCCCAAGAGTTTCTTCACCGGCTCTTATTCTCTTATATTAAATTACTAACTTACTTACATGAAACAGAATTTTAACTTTGGTGCCATGGGCATATTCATGTATGGATTTCCTGAAATAGGATGAGAAACAACACTCTTTGCAGCCAATCTAATGCTTCGATTTTTGTACCGCTGATTGAAGTGATAGTTGGCTACTACTGCTGGATATCTCTGTTTTGATCCGGAATGAGGAAGCAGAGGCTTTGGTGCTCCAACTTCTACAGGAATATAAAATGCTTTTTGAATGTCTTGAAACATTTCTGTGTTGGAGTCATATCTATTGCTGGAATCAAAGAACATCTGAAAAACTTTCACACAAGATAGATGGAGATGCCTGCAAGGTTTAGAGAAATCATTAAAACCATCCATTAGAGCATGTTCCAGCAGCTCTTTCTTCTTTTTGTCAAGAATCTCTCTGGCGTAGGCAATTGAATCTTCGATGTCTGCCTCTGGATTTTCTTTCAAGTGGAGCAAAACAAAGTTGGTTTTCCCTTCCTTTTGTTCCTTCTGTGAATGGATTGGAAAATATATATTAGCTTTCTATATGATATACCACAAAGAAAGAACTGTAAGAATACATGAAAGATGACAATTTACCTTATAACTCTGTATGTCATTCAACAAACGAGGGATGACCATTAATAATTTGGTAATGCTTTCATATTGGGCTGGATTGAGTTTGTAATCTGGTATGCTTGGACTCAAGAAACATGAAGCTGGAAGAACCAAGGTGTGTGAAGCAATGGATGTCATGCCAGTCTCAAGATACTCTTCAGCTGCAGGTATGAATCCACTTTTGCTCCATTTAGCTTCCGTAAACCAGGAAGCAAATGTTTCACTCCACTTTCATACCATAAAAAAACAAAATACCGAGACAAGTTAATCAACTGTGAAGACAAAATTAAACAAACCATAAAGGTAAAGAAAAATATTGGAAAGCTTACGATATCTCGGAGAATGTTTGTTATATCGGTTCCGTGTTGCCGAGAGTATTTTCTTGCTAATTCGTTCACAAGGCTGTCAACGGCATCAAAGATAGTCTTCCTGTGGCCACTCAAGCCCTTAGCATCCCATCTGTCAAAGTAATTTTGGGAGCATTAGGAGTTTGATCTCCATTAATTCATAATCTTTTATTTCTCTGTATAGGCACATTGGTTTACCTTTGAACTGCATCTGTGATTTTTTCCAAATCATCAAGAGAGCCTTCCATATCATAAAAATCATCAGCAACTGTGATAACTATAGCACTCTTTGCTACCATCATTCTGATCTCAGAATCCTGAGGTAGTGATGTGCTAGCAGCAACGGCGAAGTAGCAATACGCAGTTCTCTCTCGGCCGAACCCCATGTCACTAAGGCCCCAGCTCTTAGACCACCTATCTCACACAACCAAGACATTAATTTCCTTCAACTATCTAGAACTACTTTATAAAATATTCAATTGCCTTGTGTGTTACCTTGTCAGTTCTTCCAATTCACTCTTGAATGTCGTTTGCCGAAACTCGTAGTTTTTCACAGCCAGTTGCTTAAGTTTGTCATTATGAAGGCATGATAACCTGCAGGTATCAAACCTTCGAATATTAGTCCACACCATTACTATGTTCCAGTGCTTGACATTTTCTTTTTCTTCTTTTTAATGAGTAGAAGTTTTATCTTTACCTTACCGTTCAACCTTCGAGATTAATTGAATGGTAATAATTCAAAGAGTTAACATTTCAAAATTAATTATTTTGAATAAATGGTAAGATCTTCCTACCTATGGAAGGAGGTCTTTCCCATCCATAGACTGGAGCTATTCTTTTCTTCCATCCACATTCTATGCTCCAGGTGATCCAGTCGAGCCATCCATGGAAACCTCAACTCATGCTTAATCTACATATTTAGCGCACAAAAGTTATGACACATGAGAAATACTTAGCTAGATAGTAGTTAAGAATTTTATTTTTATTTTTCTTCCCTTAAGGTAGAATATTATTTTTTTTTCCACGTTTTTAGAAACGGCTCCTTGGAAGAAGCTACTGGTAGGATTTAATTGGGGGTGTTTGATAATGAGTTTTAATCTGTTTTTTAATTAAATTTTGATTATTTTTTTAATTTTTTTTAGTCGTTTTGATATGGTGATGTTAAAAATAAATTTTAAAAAATAAAAATATATTATTTTAATATATTTTTTAAAAAAATATTTGTAAAAATAACCACTACCATGTAATCTCAAATATTTATAAAGATTCAGGACATTCTATTTGTTCTCACTATTCCTTGTATTTCACCCCAAAAAAAATTAAAAAGAAAAAATTAAAAAAATTAATAAGTTCACAAGCTGAGTTTTTTACCAAATTAGCAAGAAAGTTTTTTTTTTTTTTAATTAGGATAAATCCAGCCCAAATCAGCCTATTAGGCTATTTTGATTTTAAAACTATGTTTTTTATTTTTAAATTGATAAAAAAAACTTTTTTTTTAACCGGACCAACCACCATTAAGCAACGACAAATCGGAAATTGATCATCGAGTAATTCTTAAAATATGAGAAACAGTTTGTGTTCCTTTATCAATCCTGCTTACATGGGAAGTAAATAAATTAGAAATTAGATGGTAAATCTTTTGTTTTGTCAATGGGATAGTAAGAAATTACCACTGAGTGGAAACTTGGCAAAGGAACAGTATGTTCGTCTTCGTTTCCAATTGATATGGTTTTCTCAAGCAACTTCCTTGAAAATGACCTTGCCTCCTCAAGTTCATGGTCTCCAGGAAACGTAAGATCGGTAGCTCGATAAACATTAAGAATGGCACTTGAGAAATATTCATGGTTGCTTTCAATTTGATCTTGAAGTTCTTCTTCAAGTAGGAACCAACAAAACATCCCTGAAAGGAAAAAAGAAAGAAAGAAGGAATGACAGAGTAAGAAGACGCAGTGCTTGTTAGTACTGGCATAGTTAAGAACCATCATACTTGGAGATACACGAAATCCATGCATCCTCAGCAGACAAAATGCCAAAGAGTCTTTGTATAGCTGTGTTGCCATCGAATTTGTCCATTTTGGCCATGACTCTTGGTTCATGTAATTCCTGAAAAAAAATGAAATGCCAGAGAATAAATATAACTCATAAATATTGTAAAAGAACCACCTCATAATTTTATATTGATATAATAATATAGTTTAGTTTTACCGAGTGCACTGGGCTTTGAAACTTTCATTGTTCCTGTTACCATCAATCATGGTCCCCTACAGATTCTACTACAAAATAACTTTTAAAAAGCTCATTACACACACACACACGCACACGCACACGCACACATTATCACTCACTTATTTACTTAATTATATATACCTGTAAACTTGTTCCAGCAGTCCTTCAATCTCTTGGTTAAAATGCTCAGCCAAACCCAACCTTTGCATTTGGTTAACCATACAAAGCTTTAATAGCTCTTCATCCATAGGATAAGTTTGCGGGACTGCCTCGCAAATATTTAGATTCAGTTAAGGAAAATATATACACAAATACCAAACTGCTGCAAGTGGTAATGAGAAAAATAATGGACTTAAATAAGCTTCTGAGGAATGTTTCTAACCTCCATTAGTACATTTTTGAACTAAAGTTTGAAGGTAATTCAAGCAGTCTTTGTTTCCAGTAGCCATGAAAACACTTGCTGTAGCAGAGGGGGATTGGAATAATGAACCATCGGCATGCAAGTGCTTAAGTGCATCTTCTTGATCAAAATTATATAGAGCAGGCAATGCTTCAAGATATGATAGTAATGGAGGATAATGATACTTGTCCACAAGTTCTTCCCTGAATGGAAAGGACAACAATGTTAGCAGGAACTAATCAAGAGTACTAATAGAACGTTCTGTTCAAACTTGATCTTCAAAGAGATTGGAAAAGACACCTTTCAAGAATTTGTTCCCTTTTGTAGAATATGCTCATCACCACCCTCTTTATCCTATCAGGAAAAATGATCTCCAGACCATTAATTTGCGCCATCTCAACCATTGCAGGGAAAACGATGGCAAACCAACGAGGACAGTTAGAGTCATATATCTCTCCAATAAGCTTCTCTGCGTTAGCTTCAATGAAGGCCATACCTGAGGACAAAAAATTAAGTTATAATCAGAGATCATAATTAAGCCATCCACAACAATTGCAAAAACCTTTAGATCCATTCTTTTTTTATTTCGTTTCATGATTTACGCTGTCAATGCTTCACTTCCATACTGAAAGTTATATTTTTACAAAGGCATAGGTAAGGGCTATCTCTCCTCAGGTAAATATTAAAACATTTGGTTTCCAGGGCTTGAAATCTGCACATATTAGAAAAGAGAACGGAACAGCGAGATTGAAACTCGTAATTATTTGTTGATCAAGATTTTAATACCGAGTATAAAAACATCAAGATATGATTATTTTATACTCGTTTGTACACTATCATTACCTTTATCAATAATCATTTCTCCTGCATTCCACCGTTCGAGTGCAATCATGCAAGCAATTGTTGCAGGAAGGCATTCAATAGTGGGCATGCCATGGCCATCATACTCTCCCCAGAACCCTTCTACGTTCTGGTTGTTGAGCACCCAATCCAAGCAGTTCTTGAACATGGGTTGACGTGGTTCGGACATATCCGGAACCATGGCTAACCATGCAGTGTCATAAGCAGAAGGTGCAATAAACGAATATGGATCGTTGTTGACTGACAACAACTCTTCCTTGATCGTTTTAACTAAAGCTTGAATATTGAAAGATGTTGAAAATTCCATAATTAAAAGAAATTGAGTGTGTTTTTTTCTTCTTCTTTCTGATCAATTTGTTGCTGGAGTGAGTAGTAATAAGCAAATGAATTCTTTTTATAGAGTTCGTGGACTCCTAGGGACATGGCATGCATAACGTGGGATTGTACACTCTAGTACATACGTTCACACGTAAGTAAAATTGGACTTGTGTTCATCCTAGTCATGAGACTGACCGAATTAATTAATACGTCCGAAAACAATGAAGACTAGTCCTCTGGATTATGATTCTTATTTAATTACATTTTCATAAATGAATTCTTTTTTTTTCCAAGTCCGTTTTTTCTTTTAATTTTTTTTTTGTTATATCTTTGTATTTTCCTTATTAGTTTTATGATCTTTTCAGTATACTCTTGATGATTATCAAAAAATAAAATCAAATATGTCACCAAATATGCGAGGGATGTACTCCTGGTTGATGAATAAATTAGATTGAGAATATCTTTATTATCCAATAAATAAATAAATAAAATAACTACCACATGTTTTTATATTTTTTTAAATGAGATTTTATAATTTATAGCCCCAAAAAGTTTACTCCTTATCAAATGACAAGATTAATTAGGAAAAAAAATATTGAGCCTTACCGTTTCTTAGGAAATTACGTAGAAAAAAGCATTTTGTCTAGCCAATTATATATTTTATGTTGATTTACTGCAACAAAAAATCACAGATAATAACATCCATTGTAGGAACCAATTAAAATTACGTGATCTAAAACACCCGATTCATATTCTCCTGTGTTCATAAGCCAAAACCTTTATTTCAAAGGCCCATGTATGATTTGTAAAATAATAATCATAATAATAATAATAATAATAATGAAAGCTTCTCTGGGTTGGCTTCAATAAAGGCCATACCTGCGGACAAAAAAGTTATAATCAGAGATTATAATTAAGCCATGCATATAACATTTTAGTATTGAAATTAAAAATAACTTTTATTTTTTGAAATTTTACAAAAAAATATTATTAAAAAATATTAAACACCATAAAAAATAAAAAATATTAATATTTGACGTAATTCTAAGAGTATGTTTAATAATATGATAACAATTATTTTTTAAAATGCTTTTTAATCAGAAATATATTAAAATAATATTTTTTTTATTTTTAAAAATTACTTTTGATATCAATAAATAAAAATAAACTGAAAATACTAAAAATTTAATTTAAAATATATAAAAAAAAAATTAAAAAAAATTAAAATATAAAAATAAGTAACTTTGTCAGAGTAATGGCAGAAAGATTACCATTGGATAGATATTCAATGTTTAAATCCAAGAATAAAAGTAAAAACAAAACTTGGCAATTAATGTTTGTGGTGAGAAGTAACGCGGAAAGAGGACAGGCACCCCAGACGACAGAGATTGATCCTACACTTGATGTGGTCCAGCGGCCGAAGGACGAGAAAACATGAGATCCCGGCCGCCCAGGAATCGAAGAATTCTCATTTTGATGTTTACTCTTCGCCATGATTCATTTGTGAATAAATAAACCACTTAGTTTAAAAGGATTTATTAGGAAAAAAAAAAGGATTCTCCAGGATGAATAATTATTTGATTTTTTTTTAATTTTATTGATTAAAATGTTTATATCCTCTTATCCTCGTTCTTCACTTTCTTAATTAACTCGTACAAGTAATCGTAAATTCTATACAAATCCCTCAACATAACAGATTTCAAGTTTAAATTAAAATACGATTTTAAGTTAAAATGTGTATATTTTATAAAAGATTGGAATAATCAGAATTTTATTCACTTATCTATATTTACAAAATATATTTTCTAAAAAATAAGACTTTCTTAAATCAAAAAAGAAAAAAAAAAGGTAAATGAGTTATCATAACATTATTGTTTGAATTCCGATAAAACCAATTAAATGATAAACTTTTGAATTTTATTGAAATATAATAATAATAATAATAAAAAGTTTATTGATCACTACTCAATAATTTTAGAAATTATATATATATGGTAATTGTATTCACCTCTCTCGTATAAATTTGAAATTCATCTTGCTACATTAATATGCAAGGGTTTTTTTTTTTTTTTTGCAAGTTTGACTTGAAGACTTTTTGTTAATTTTAAATTAATTCCTTGGTTTTGTAAGGCACAATTGAACGTGGACTCTAATTCAATTAAATTAATCAACATCAAAATAAAAAATACTGCAATGAATTAATCATTGTGGACCCAATGTTTATTTCTAGATAAGATTAATGTGTTAAGAAACTTTTCATTTTTTTTAAAACAATAACTACCATAATACTAAAAATATTCACTAGATAAAAAAAAAATCACTATAATTCAAAATTTTGATATTTTTATTTAAAATTAATTTTTTTATACTCTTTATCTTTATTTTCTTCTAATTAATCATCTTCTTAAAAAAACGTATATCATTTAAGTTTTGTAACGTACACATCTTTATCTTTATTTTCTTCTAATCAATCATCTTCTTAAAAAAACCTATATCATTTAAGTTTTGTAACGTACACAACACAACCTTCTAAGAGTTTTTTTCACCATTATCGGTGTTGATTTAAGCACAAGCTCAAGCCCAGCATTCTCGACCTTCATGCCTCCCCACCAATTTTGAGAAGAAGTTGATCTACATGAGGTTTTCTGCAAACTTTATCAATGGAAATAACATTTAATCTATATATCTCATTAAGTCCTTTTAAAACCTCAACATGTAATTATCCGTAGCTATATATCTGTTCTTGTAATCTGCTCATTTTTTTCCAAAAAGTTTAATATTAGTATTAGCAAAATGTCTAAATATAGCCTATTTCTCTAGGGAGATTTATTTTGCAGGTGTGCAAGCAATTCAGCCATCCTTTTTTTATTTTTATTTTTACAATCAATGCCTAGAATCCAACCATGTAAAATAACTACTTGATATTTAAAGTTTTCCAACCTCGTCAAATAGCATATTATTTAATGATATTTAATATAAAATTATTCTTAGAATTTTTATCTAAAATCTTAGATTTTTAAATAAAACTATTCTTTCACTTCATCTATTAAAACTCATTCAACTAACTAGTTATAATACGTAAGACTCTTGTCTTCCCATCCTATCTCCTACTTTCGTGTTTTTGTTATCAATTCCAGAGGGCTAAGATCATAAAAATAAAAAAATTAAGTTTAAAAATGAATAGTTAAATTAAATCAACATGAAATGTCGTTTAAGATCAAATTCTATTAACTAAAAATTTAAAACAATTCGAGGAAAAGATTAAAATCTATTGAGAACATATTTTAACCCTATATTATATTGATTAATAAAGTCACACAAAAGATTATATATAAAGAATTTGACTAAAATTTATCCAAATCATAAAATTAAGCAAATGTTCTTTTCAAAAACACGAAGAACATTGTTAAATAATTAAAAAAATCTCATTAACCCATAAATATCTTAGAGCCTAGCACATTGTGAAGCTTCCAAAATGGTATTTTTTATTTTTAAAACATGATTTCTTTATTTTAACAAGTTACACAATCATAATCAAATATGTTTGAATAAAAAAATTAATAAATAACATCAAAATCATGTAAGAGACTCCAAACTTTAAAAATGTCAACTTGAATAGCCTATAAAGACATCAAATTTAGATTTAAAATTGACTCTTTAAGCACTTAGAACTCACACTATGCATCGGAACCACGAATACACAATAATAACAAAAAAAAAATCAATAATCCTATATCTATATTTCAAAATCACTTTATTTCATTTAATATGAACTTCTAAATATATTCTAAACATCTAGTAAAATTAACAGATAACTCCAAATAGAATCAAACAAAGAAAAAAATAACATTTAATGCATTAATCAAAATCAAAACTAGAGATATGCTAGAGATAACATTCAATAACATTTAATGCAACAAATGCTAAAAAGACATCATAAAATATGAAAGAACATGCTAGAGATATACCTCGTGAATATAAAATACCAAGATAAGTGGATGTTTTATACCTTCCAAGCTCAAACGATGGTTATTGCCCTTTGGTTTTTTTTTTTTTTCAAGTTTGTTACTTTCTTTTAAAGTTGAGAAAATCTTTGTGTTAGGCTCTTAAACTTTCACACTTTAGAGTTTCTTTATCAATCTTTTCCTTACCTTTTTCTCTTTGTTTTGCTCTGATTTTCTAAGGGGTATTTATAAGGTTTTGCTAGGTTTTTTGCTAGGTTTAAACATAGATTGATCAAAGTTTAGTCCTTTGATCAAAATGAGAGGGTTCTAAAGTACATTTCATAGCTGTGAGCTATGCACCTATTCTGGTTTTTCAATGCTAATTTTGCAATAAACTTGGTTTTTAGGAGGTTTTGGTGGTTTTCCAAACTTATAGACCAAGGAGCTTGTTCTAGCCTTTTTATTTTGAGAGAAACATGATCAACCTTTGATAAGACCCACAGATAAGGCTTAAAGCGTGAATACGTGAAAAAGATTAGTGGTTTTATGAAATGGGTATCACAACCATTGATGATTTAATTGACTACTTTCAAGGCTTTCTTAGAGCAACTCTAACATTATCATCATTAAAGACCATATGATCTTGGTAAAAGGGGTGCACACCTTTCATTTGGATCCAACCTTATTCAATTTGAAGGTTTGTAGCTCCACATTTATTTGTTTGAAAATGTCAACCTGATTAGCCTAGAATCTAAAAATACAGTAATAACTAACTAGAGACAAGATGTTGTTGAGTTTGTTAAAGGAAATGAGATATAAACATTTGATGAGAGTAACTGATGTTTATAGAAAAGTTGTTTCTCAGTTAAATGGTAGTTGTTACCAAAGGTGGTTGGAAATGCCATATTTATTCACCTAAAAATGCTTACTCGATCGGCCAAAATTATCAAAGAAGAAGCTAAATAGTGGCTGAGCGACGCATTGTTTAGCTTAAACCCTAGAAATTAGGGTTTTAATTAAGGATTTGACATATTTTATTTTAGTTTATTTTCTTTCAATTGCTTTTAATTGCACCTATAGTTGCTCTCCA